GAACTGTCTTTATGTCAACCCATGAATCTTCTCACTTTTGCTCCTTCTATTCTCTTCCCCATCCCACAGGGTAGGAGGAGAGAAGAAGTGGCTGTGTGAGTGCTGAGCTGCTGGCCTGAGTCAACCCACCACAATTTAGAAACCTGGATATGATGTTTTTCATAAAGTTACAAAGATGGGAAGGCACTGTATGTGTCTGTGTGGTTTGCTGGTTAGGGTTTTTTGTTGTTGTTGGTGGTTTCATTATTTATTTATTTGATTGGTGGGTTTTAAGGACATACAGCTTCAGTTACCAGAACACAGTCCATGACATCACATTAGGCTTTCCTGTTATCCATGTAAACAAAAATCAACATGCTATTAGTTCCTTGAATTAGCACCCTATTTATTGGTGGGGTTCTATTTGTTTCACATCAGCAAAGCTATAATCCTCTTCCATTTCCTTCTCAAGCAGAGAATTTTCAAACATAATGACTCTGTGTTCCAAGAAGTGATTTTGATTTCCTTTGAGGGGATTAGTGTTAACGATCTGCTGTCTGTCATTCCCAAAATGCATTTAACAGATGTCTGTTTTCCACAGACATCAAAATGCCACTGACAAAAAAATTACCTCTGAATTCTCCTCTTCAAGGTTAGAATCTCCCTTAATGCACTGCATTCATAGCAGAATTTCAGGACTAAAGCCAAATATGCCTTCCAAAGACATATGAAAAATCACCAAGCAGATTTCTATGGATATCTAAGTAACACACATGCCATGAAAGCTGCAACCATGAAGGTCCTGTCAATCTTTTCTGAAGATTACACTTTCAATAAGGAGACTACACTTTCAATCTAGCCATAACTTTGCCATTCTTGTAAGGATACCACAAAACTTTTAGATGGCAATATTATGTGTTCTGACGACCCCTCAAGCTAAGATTGTCCCAGTTTACAAAAGTAACATTTACCTTTTTTTTTGGGCCGGGGGGGGGACGGGGACAACGGAACCCCAAAGAACACACCTTTTTAAATGTCGGTCTGATTTACTTAACAACTTGACTACAAATCTGAACATTTAAGTGCTTATTCTGAGCAGTTTGTCCAAGAGCAGAGAGCAGCAGTGTCATTAATTCAGATACCTACCACATTCTATTGTTTTGTGGCTCTGAGATGGCTGTCTGTCTTTATGCCGACTCCTGGGGTAGCTTCTGTGTTCCTGAAGAGAGGTTCTTTTATCTGTGCAGTCTGTGCTTTGAGTGTGACGTGGTAAACATGTAGTATAGTGCAATCCTGCCATAGAAAGCATGCCCTGAATAGCTTCTTCTTCTGTACTTGTCGAGGTAGGACATTCCCTAGAAAAATAAAGGAGTATTAAGCAGTTCAAAGCAGAACTCTAGATTTCTCTGAAGGAATGATTTTTACATTGGTATAAAAGCAGAACCATAAATATGTGTGAAAAGGTCTAACAGTTTATAAACAAATGCCCACAATGTACTTACTTTTTACTGGGAGTTTCATTTCTGGATGGCTTCTGGATATTTTGACAAAGGTCTCTCGTGACCTTAGATTCCTCTTTGAAATTTGATGTTACTTCCTGTTTCTCTTCATCACCTGAGCTTTCTGACTCCTCTGTGGAGGAATCCTTCTGCTAAAACAAGAGGAAACAGTATGCAGAATGGTCACCATGCCTCCTAAATAGAGACACTACCTTAAATTTATGCTAAGTAAAAAATTCAAAAGCTTCCAGGTCCAACTTTTTTATATATATAGTATTCAGAATGCAGTTAATTTTAATTAACTGAGATACTATACATCCAGATTTTGTAACACTGATGAGTACATGCTCCAGCAATATAGAAAGCATCTCAGAAATCCACTTTCTTACAGAAAACACTACACACATTAAACCATGCACAAATCATTGTATTCTCTTTAAAGAGAGCATTGATTATTCTTATCTTCTGTACTCAATGTAGACGAAAAAATATGGAAGTATGGTTCCAAGCAGTAGCCACAATTGATGCCTATTACATATAATGGGACACAACCTGCCCCAAGTAACTGTTCCTGCTCTCACAAAAGAGAACTTTCAGCAGCATCATCTCTCTTATGAGTGACAGAAGCTCTCAGGTAAATCCCACCACAGCAGGAACAAAGGCACAGCAGCTGTTGCCTCTCTTACAGTGGCACAGCCTCATTTCATGAATGAAAGGGCTTTTCAGCTCCTGCTGAGATTACAGCTTGTATGGGCAGGAGCTTCTCAAAGGTGGACCAACCATATGTGACTCAATATGCCTTTACGTGAAGCAAGGGCTACAATAGATATGTTCCATCTTGATAATTCATACTAATCTATTTTGAACAAGTACAGACCACACCACAATTTTTTTCAAGCCAAGGAATATATATGACATTCAGTAGAAGTGTTGAAAGTGGAAGATCAGAACATGGAGGAATCATAATCCTTCAAGACTGACACCACTATCCCTATCATCAAAAATGGAACTGGAATGAGTGAAGTGCATCGTATCACCAAGGGATGTTTTTATACAATAGCTTCATTCACAAAAGCAGCTTGTTAATCTTTGACACTTGGAAAGTGACACAAATGGGCAATTAAATTATAACTATGACTCAATGTTAGTAATAAAGCTATTATCTTGTTTTGTTAAGATCATCTTCGGTGCAATACAAAAACATAAAAAGGATTTACAGGAGCTACTGAGATAGTTCCTTCTATATTCTTCTGCTTCTTAATTTCTCATAGTATCTAATGGAATAATTTTTCTGCATGTTTAAATTTTTCTTTTGTAATGATATATCCAAAATGAACTAAGAGAGTAAATGGCATTAATATAAAACATTTCACTCAATGACAAAGTCATCCAAAACTGGCTACATTCTCCTGTGAAGAAGAAATATATCACTTCTGAATAACTATTGATTGTGTGTCTTAAAAAACGAAACCTGCTGAGACAAAGTTGCTGACAATGCAGTTTAGGAAACCAGAATAATCCACATCATGAAGGTTCCTATCACTTATTCCAACATTTAGATAAAGTAATGATGGAAGACAACAAATACTAAAAATAGATCTTGACCACCATGGAAGAAGTAAGAATTTGAAAACTTCTTGTAAACTCTTATAATAGGCTGATGACTGAAAGAAAGACCAAAGCATTAGCTTTCCAGAAGCGCAAAACAAAAATGTGAGGTAATCACTCCACCCTACTAGCATTTTACTGCTATCCAATTAAAACTGAAATTAGTAAGTCAGAGCACAATTTTGCAAGGGAAAAAATATTTTTATATACATGTGCACATTTATAAATACTAAAAGTTGTATTAAAATACATGCATGTAAATATATATACATGTACACGTGTGTGTGTGTGCATTTGTATTTCATTTAGCTGTAAAGAAATCACTACAATCTAGACCCTCAAATGGAGAATTCCCATTTATTTCAAATAGTCTAAAACACCTCAATAGGATTTAGCCACTTCAGCTTATTTAAAAAACTGAAGGCCTACAAGATTGTTTCCATTTAACCATGCTCTAAAATGAAACTGTGTGGTAGATACTCATAATTCTAAAGACGAAATTTAGACTTGTTATGGAAAAAATGAACAAAGCAACTAGGATCTAACTTTTCTCAGACTTCGCATGTTCCAGAGCAGGGCTCATCCCTTGCCAGCCCCACTTTAATGACAAAGATGATCATAAAATTTGGGTCAAGATAGCATATCTTGTCATTTTTCTCAACACTAGAATAAATGAAGAATGAGGCAGAACCGTAAGTTTGAGATATTAACTTGAACAAGAAGTAAATGCTTTGTTATTGCTCTTTTAACAAACTTCGACGAGATAAATTTGAAGTGAGCGAGCAAAATTGTATTTAATTGCTTTGTTAACTTTTGTGACTTTTTCTAGCTATACCTGTGTAGTGCAATCAGGCTCAGATTCTTCTGAATCAGAAATATCAGAGTACTCTGAGGATCCATTCCTGAGTTCTGATTTCACACTTTCAAAGAACACTGAGGAGAGAAAAAGTAAAATATAAGACCCAACATTTATTACATATGATATTTAACAATGATTTTGGAAGTAAAGAACAAGAAATATATAGTCAGTTTTTAACAGTCTGTAAACAAAAGCACATCCACGCACTGATCTGGTTCACAAGTCAAATTTGCTTAAAACTCTGTTGCATTGCCTACTGTTGACCAATATACTCCTCAAGCAGCTCACTGGATGAAGCCAGAAGAAGAGAAATCAGGTGCAGCAGGAGCATATATTTTTTCTCTCCCATAGAGTACATACTCCACAGATAGCACCTTGGGCAATTTCTGCTTTTGTATATGGGCTAGAGTCAGAGAAGTGCCTCTCAGAAAGAGTTAATTAGACGTAATCTTCAATATCGCTTTGTCTTAGACTCTTTGAACCTGGAATTTCCTTGTTTAAAAATAAAAGCAGTTCTACAGAAATACTAAACATGGAAGTCAGAGAATATTAAGTGATTTAAGGTAAAAAAATCATTGCATTACTTGCAATTTTACTTTTACATCACAATTTACTGGCATATTCTGCCTGTTTTGTGCTACTACAGAGCTGCCAATCAGGGTTAAAATGCAGATCTGTTAAAGAAGATTAAAAATATTACTGTGATGATACACAATATACTTGCATTGGTTTTCATCTCAGAAAGACTTGAAGAGGAGGAGAGGAAATACCAACCTTAGACACGCTTTTTGCTAGTAGTAAGATAAAGTACTAATCAGAGAATGAGGTGTCACAATAGACATCAGAAACACTGGCATATGACAAAGCAAGCAATCGACTCAGCCACCTAGTCCACATGGTTTACTTTTTTAAGTGCTGAAAGAATTCAAACGAAGTAGCTGAGCAGCTCTAGGAAGCATGTGCTCTTAAAAGACAGCATATGTTCCGAACAGCCACGAGTAGGAAACACATTTGTAAGTGTTCGGAATCCAAGGCTCAAGGTCAGTGGGCTGTATACCTGTGTCAAGGCTGCTGGCAGAAATCTTGATTAAGTACAAATTTGTGAAAGACTACAATATGCAGTTTAACTAGCAAGACTTTTTTGGAGAAAAAGCCAGATAGAATAAAAAAATTTATGAATGTGTGTCAAGAAGGCAGTGGATAAAGAAAGCAACATAACTTTTTCAAGTTTTCAAGTACTTATAGTTTCATATAAAACCATGGTGAAAGCAAACGAACGTTTGAACTTCACTTATCTTCATTCCAGAGCTAATTTCTGATCTGTGTTGGTTTGCTTTCAGCATAGTTTTATATGAAACTACATAAACAGAACGCAATTCTTCATAACTCATTAATTACGCAAGCATAAAAGATGTACCTGTAACCCTATATACACTGCAGTTCTAGCAGGATTTTGTTCCTATTGTAGACTGTGGCAAAGCTCATAAATAGGCATCAAATATATTTCAAGGGATATTATTAATTTTGAAACACTGAGTAAGTGGAAACTATTTTTGGAGTCAGAAGAAAGCCAAGAATGAGACAGATTAGAAGATTATGAATAAAATGAACAGCTGGGACCAAAATCTAGAGAAGACTAATTAAACTTAAGATAGTATTAGAAACAACTGTGAGGAATTTCCAAACACAGTAAATGAGCACCAACATTGTATATGAAGTTAAGCTAAATAAAGTAACGCTCAACATATGACAATAAAATGAATATTCTAAATTACTGTAGCTCAAAAAACCCCAAGGGATTTCTGATGATAACTCAAGCCTTCAGCTCATTTCAAAAAAGCAAACAAGATTCTAGGATAAGCAACAGCATGCATGATACAGAAAATAACACCATTATATAGCTCAAATGAATTTTCCTTTGGACTACTGCCTTTTTCAAAGAAAAAAACTGCTCCAAACTTAGAGACAATTTAAAGGAAGGGGCAAGAACAATTAAGGATATCTAAATATGCTCACACGTGGAGCTTCAGATCTTAGGCAAAAATTAATGTGTAAATAATGAACCACAATTTAAAAATAAACAAACTTCATGAAGTCTCCTCAGGAACTTTTCTTCCTTCTGTCTTAAGGAACTGGAAAGTCCTAATTATTAAAATGACAAAACTATTAAGAAGAAATCTGAGTCTTCCGATATGAAGGCAAATGATTCAGCAAGACAGAAAATAAACTGGACATATGCATAATTAACTATGTACAGATAATACTAAAATCTATAAAAGCAATGCTAAATACAGAGTCTCACACTTTAGAAGCCCTCTTGCTTTCTCACAGAGATTAACTGATGATACCCTACTAAGAGGGACAAATTATTTGTTATCTGCCTACTATCTGGTAATATGATCTAGACTGAATGGCTAAAGCCACCTAACATTATTGAGACATTCCTGGTTCATTTGGGGCTGGGTACTAGCATATATGACGTAACACACACGTGTGAGCCCCAGGTCTAATCCAGTTTGGCTATGCCAATATTCCTACATGTGGCCAAACCATTGTCCATTTTTACCACTTCTTTATTATGCAAGCTCTGTGCAAAGCAGTCAGAGAATACCTCCCCAGTTTTCCTTCTGCCTTACATTGTTCAAGAAT